AGATGGGCTACTAAGCCAAAAGCATTCAGTTCAAATCCACCAGTTGTTCCTCGGGAGAATGATCTCCTCCTATGCAATTAAATTGTCCCTGAAAACTTGATGGAGGGTCAGCTATGACTGAGTAGGGTCCAACTCAATGGAATCCAACACAACACACACATACACACATTCCTAGGTTAGAATTTAACCTTGTTTCAAATATTTCAACAGTTTTTTTTTTCACTAATGCCAAGAGAAGATATGCTAGTTGATACAGCAGGCTAAGGCTTCAGGGTGGTCATTCAAACCTTGAAATATGGGATATTCTTATACTGCATTCTTATGTGGTTTTGAAGTAACCTTAGACTTCATTCAGTTGGCATGCCCATTCAACTACCTAGTTTCCTATGCCAATGAAATCTGTGAGTAGACAAGTAAACTGTGGCATATCCACACAGTGGACTATTACTCAGCAATGTACAGTAACGAGATCCTGATACATGCCACATAGAGAGAACCCTGAAAGGATGCTAAGCGAGAGAAACCAGTCCCAAAGGACTGCTACAGTATGATTCCATTCATATGCAAAATCCAGAAAAGACAAATCTATTGGGGCAGAAAGTGGATTAACTCAGTGGTTGCTTAGGACTAGGGAGATTGGGGAGAAATTAACTGCAAACAGGCACAGGGGTTTTTGGAGAGGGATGATGAAAATGTTCTAAAATCAGTGGTGCTGATGGCCACATAGAATTCCAATAATTTACTAAAAAGCCTTGAACACATGAATAGTTTACAGATGAGTTGGACGTGGATAAATTATCTCAAAAAGTTGTTAGGGGGAGAAAAATCTTCTGCCATTCTCAAGTCATCATTTAAGCGTTATTTCCTAAAAACCTCATGTTGTTGCTGTGTCTTGCCAAGTCAGAACCGACCCATAGCTGACCCCGTGGTGGGTTTTCAGAGACAGTTCATTGCAGGGGAGGAGACTGCCCATCCTTCTCCCATGCGGAGCAGCTGGTGGATTAGAACCGTGTGCGTTCAGGATTGCAACGCAGCTTCTTGCCACTAGGCCACCAGAGCAGTTATCTTTATAACGAATTGCATGGGATAACTATTACTGTCATTAGTCAGTTGTCAGGTAGATTCCAACTCCTGTGTAGAAATGTGCCACTCGGCTTTCAAGGCTTTGACCTTCTGGAAGCAGCTTTCTAGGCCTGCCTTCTGAGGTGCCTCTGTGTCGGTTCAAATTACTACCTTTCGACCAAGCAGTCCAGCCCAAAGATTGATGTGTGATAATTTTAAGTGCTCTAAAAGTCTTTTTCTACAGAAACACATACCAAGATACTTAGTGGAAGAAATTATGTTATCTAGGATTTGCCTTAATACAGTTGGCAGATGGTTAAGAAGGGGGAGTGGGTCATGTGTCGATAACCACCAAAGCTGAGCCACAGATAAGTAGGGGTATATTACACTGTTCTTTCTGCATTTGTTGAAATGTAACATTTTCCTAACATTAAAAACAGGAGGTTCATGAGACTTCCTGGTCATTCCTACACAGCTGCCCTATGCAGTTATATTTTCTCTCTGGTACTATACACATACTGACATATTTACAGATGAAATAATGGGATATCTCAGTTGTCATTTAAAACAACATGGGAAAATTAATCCAACAAAAGGGTCAGCCCGTATAAAGGATCTAATCCCTAGTCTGCTTGGAACATCAGGTCTTCTAGAATTTATCCGAGCACTCAGAAAGGCCCATGGCAGAGTCTAGGGGTACAGATAAAGCCACTGTTGAAGCTGGTGAGCATAGGTGAGAGTTTGCTACACAATTTGTTGTTGTTATTATGTACTGTTGAGTCAGCTGCGACCCATACCCACCCTTTGTACATTAGCTCTGAAGCCTGCCCTGTCCTGAGCCTGTCTCACTGACTCCAACACACCAACTACCCGGTCCCAGTTACTGTATCAATTCATTTCATCTGGTGTCTTCCTCTCCTGGCCTGTTCCTCCAACCTTCCAAGAATGATATCCTTCTCCAAAGACTGGTCTTTCCTGGCCACGTGCCCAAAGTCACTTTACAATGTAAAATGTTCCTTATTACAAAGCTTTTAAGATATCAGCCTCTCTCACATACATAAAACCAAACATATGGTACGACTGAGGGGGTATTTCCTCCCCCCTTAAAACACCAACAGAAAATTCCTGCCCATGGACACCCCTGAAATTGTATGTTGCTTTACACAAGTAGAACTTACTCTGTTATCACTCCAAGTTCAGAGGTCAACCTCAATAAAAAGTCATACTTAGATAATTAGAATAAAACCACCACAGAATCCACTGCCATCAAATCAAGCCCCAGTCAGGGCACCCAGGCGTGTCAAGAGTAGGAAAACATAACATGAGGTTTTCAAGGTTGTAACTTCAAAGATTACGAAGCCTTTCTTTCAAAGATATTATTAAACCCCCTGATGGTGGGTCAATTCTGGCTCATGGCAATTCTCAGTGAGGATGAGACTCCTGTGAGACTCTTTACAAGGGGAGACAGGCCCATCTTTCCCCCTCAGAGCCACTAGTGGTTTTGAATCACCAATCTTTCAGCCCAACACGTAAGAAATTACTCCACCAGAGCTCCTTCATGGGCCTCTCTGAACTCAACACTCACTCATGCCATGGACTCAAGCCCAACTCATAGGCGACCCTACCCTGAGTTTCCAAGGTTGTAAAATGCAAGGGAGGAAAAGGCCCATATTTCTCCCTCAGAGCTGCTGATGGATTTAAACTGCAGGAAAAACATGGCTTCTGGATTAGCAGCACAAGAGTGCTCCCTAAAGGTGAGTTCAAACCATCAAACTTTGGGCTAAGAGGCTTCACTTCACTGTTTACACCACCCTGCACTTCTAACCAAGTAGGTAGGGTGTGGTTTGGAGGGAAAACTACTTCACAAGGTAGAATCAGCAGTTCCAAACCACCAGGTCTCTCTCTGCTCTTGTTTGTGCAGTAAAAAGTGTCACTACTGATTGAGAGAAAAGGACTGGTCCTAGGAGCAGGCCCTGGAGCAATATCCTTCTTCCTTCTGGCTGACGGTGCTTTCAACACTTGATCTGATCCCCACTCCAACTGGACTGGCATCTAAGAGCATTTACCTGAAATTATTTCATAAGTAGAAAACTCATGTGGAGTACCATTTTTAGAAGGGGGGGTCTATTTAATAATCCACAACTAGCTACCTTTCATAAGATATTAGATTCTGGTTTTACAAAGAGAAAATATCTGAAAATGTATGCCAGAATCATGACAGGCTTCTGGTATTTAGAAAAATGAAATGTGTAATCCATTTGGCGGGATTTGGCCTGGTGAGTGGAATAGGGAGCAGAAAGGACATGATTTCTATTCTGCCTGGAGGAACCTTCATTAAGAACACTCAACGGCCATCGGCAGAGTCAGGAGCAAAGTGAGGAAGGCAAGACTGTGCTCACCTGGGGCACAAATCCATAACTTCATTCATGTGGCACAGAACATACCACAGGGCTGTCGGCATCAAGTATTTCAAAGGAGAGCAAATTGGCAGCAATTGAAGGATGAAATGTCAGGCCAGGCTCGAGGAATCGAATGTTCTCAATGTTCTTATTCAAACAATTATTTTGGGTTCAAATGAGTCCTCCACATATTCTCAAAATTTGGTTTCAAGTCCAGATATGTGTGGGCCTGCCAAACAACAGCTATTGGTGACAATATGGGCACGGCCAGCCCCTTTGATTCAGCCAGTTCATAGGAAGGTCATTCACTTGAAACATGCATCTATCACAATCACCCTACTTGGGCTTGTTTCCAAGACTCTCAGGCAAACCTCAAGAGGTTGGGTGTCTTGGATATTGAGACATTGGTGGGCAGTAAAGGGAGTGTCCACCCAGTGTCCACAGAGGATGGGGGTGGTAGCTGACTTTGTTAGAAGCCTTAAGTGCATTTTCCCTGAAATAGTTCAAAAGCAAACGTGATTTGGGGCTTTCATTTTAGAAGGCATCCCTCTGCCTCCGGAACAGCCTTCCTCGATGGATGGAAGAAGAGGGTCCTGCACCACCACCCCCAAACCGGTTAGCTGCCCTGCCCCCATAGCTTTGGCAAGCTCATCATAATGACGGGTTCAGGTTCCTGAGAATTAAACACTACACAGCCGGGCCGCCTGTGTGGCTCCAGGAACCAAGCGGGGGCTTAAGGCCCAGCTTTAATGACCAGGTACAAGGGCTCGCTTACCCATACTCCCTCATTACCTCCTGAACTCGTCCCCAAGCAAACCAGCTATCCTGCACCAGATAACACATTTCACACTCAAGTGTGGGCTCATGAGTAATTAAGACGTCCTGGTGGTGCAATGGCCGAAGCGCTCGACTGATAACCGAAAGGTCCGCGGTTCGGGCCCACCAGCGGCTTGGTGATTCACTGGTCACCTGCTCCCGCAAAGATTACGGCCTTGGAAGCCCTCTGGGGCAGTTCTGCTGTAATAGAGGGTCGCTGAGTCAGAGTCAACTCCAGATACACATAACAGTGGTAATGGGGAATAAAACAAGTGCCTCTCAGCCTGTCCACAACAAGTCCACTGTCCATTCCAAAAGTGCACCCACTGGGTGCCAGGCACTGTGGTCAGAACTGACCCGCATCCGCACCCTCCTGGAGTAGTTCTCAGCAAAGCACTCAACCCAGGGAAGCTTCGTTCTTTCCTCCAGCTCTCCTGCCACCACCCTTCTCCCAAGTGCTGGAAATCTCTGTTCTACTGTTAGCTTGACAGGAACAAACTTGAACCTGCGAAGAAGTGGCATTACCCAGGTGCAACCCACTTAACTTGGAAGTCTCGGAAATCTTTTCCTTCTGCCTCAAACCCCTCCAAAAACTTTGGCCTTAAGCGTCTGTACTTACTGCAGCCCGGGGCAAGGAGTCCCCAAGGGGCAGCAAAGAGGACTGGCCAGGGCCCCCTGCCCGGGAAGGGCCCTTCAGGGTGAGCGGGGCGCGCAGGGACTCACCGAGGAGCCGGCCCAGAACGGGCACGAGTTCTTCACCTGCGGGGAGCTGCTCAGCGACAGCGCCCCGAAGCTGAGCGCCACCATGCAGCAGCCCAGGATCAGCTGCAGCAGCCCGAGCGACAGCAGAGGCCGGGCGGGCAGCAGCGCGGAGCCGGGGGCGGCGGCAGCGGCCCGGCGCGAGGAGA